GCCTCCTAAGGTGGAGTAGGCCTTTTTATTTGTGTTACTTTTTCGTTGGATGCAATAAAGCTGCATTTATTGCCATTACTGTTTAAAGACCAGTGACTTTCCTACAGCGGGCATATTAAAACTCCCGCCAGGACCGACCACTCGCGCAAGCAGGGAAACTGCCTAAATTTAAAAACAGACAGCAATGCCTGTGATCATACAAGCAATCCGCCTTGTATAAGCTGCCGCTCCATGTTTCCCCCCCCTCCGCGGCCCCCCTCCCGCTGTCACATGATGACAGCGGGATGATGGTGCGCGCAATTTTATAGCTTGACATGTTTGATGTCTTTTTCCTAACAATGTTAAAAAAAGTAATTTTTCCTTAAGCCCTCGTTCACACCTGAATGTTTTGTACCGCGTTCTACGCTCGACGAACGCTCTACAAAACGCTCAAAAATATAAATCCCATTGTATTCCATGGTCTCGTTCCCACCTTGGCGTATTTCCGCCCGTCCCTAACGCGCTACAAAACGGCCCACGCCTGAAAAGGTACAGGTACTACTTTGGGCCGTTTTGTTGCGCGTTTCCATTGGGATACAGCCAAGTAGCCTTCAGAAACGCCCGACGGTCGCGCGACTTTTTTACTGCGAATCGCGGTAAAAAACCGCGTGCCGGTCGCGCGACAGACACGCGTATGCAATACGCCTAGGTGTGAACGAGACCATATAGTAAAATATTTAAAAACCCCAGTGGTGATTAAATACCACCAAAAGAAAGCTTGATCTGTCCCCAAAAAATGGTATAAAACTAATTTCAATACAGTGTTGCATGACAGAATAAATGTCAGTCAACATACTGCAGCGCTAAATACTGAAAAATGGCCTGGCCAGGAATGGGGTGTAAACACCTGGTCAGCAAGTGGTTAGAGACCCCTGATGTCTCTATAAAGAGATCCTGTCAGTGTAGATTTGTAAATTCCTACCACATGGAACTGAAATTGTATTGTTAATTGTATTGTCTCCCTCAATTTTGTAAAGCGCGTTGCCCAAACTATTGGTGCTATATAAATCCTGCATAACAATAATAATATAACATAGGGGGATTCTTTTTTTTAAACTTTTTTTTTTTACACTTAACTTTAACATTACAAAAGTCACACATAAAAAAAGAAAATAAAAGTTATGCTCCCATGTGCACATTCAAACATACGACGTTTGCGCCCATTACGCCGCACAAGTTACATATCACCGTCAACGTCGGAGTATGAGCAATAATTTTAGGGCCATCAATCACTGTTCACACTAAACTGATGAGGGGTAAAGGCTTTGAAAGCATCGCCTATAGCCAATTATGGGTATGATAGCTTTTTGCGATTTCGCGGGCGTGCACAATTTTAAGGCTTGACGTGTTTGGTGTCTATTTAACCGCCGTGACCCCATCTTTTATATTTTACAACAAAATTGGGTAATTATAAATGTTTCATAACATAATGTAGAAAAAAGTTTTGTTTTTTAATTTTCTGTACTTTATATAATAAAAAATAAAAACCTCAGTGGTGATTAAATACCACTAAAAGAAAGCTATCTGTCCCCCAAAAAATTATATAAAATGAATTCAGTACAGTGTTGCATGTACTGAAATACATGACTGAATAAATGGCATTCAAAATTTATGACTGAATAAATGGCATTCAAAGTACCGCAGCGCTGAATACTGAAAAATGGCCTTGACAGGAAGGGGGTTAACACCCCGGAGTTCGAGTGGTTAACATAGGGGCTACCGAAGCACTAGCTCCAGGACCACCACTGAAATTAGGCCCAGTCAGCCCCC